ACACCTGAAGTCTGCCAACTCAGCTTGTCCAGTCAGCAAAAGAACTAGTCAAAACCACCGAAATCAACTCCAATACCACTGTGGGGGGAAAGTGATCTGGTTTTAGAGAGTTTGGGGGCTGATTGATCCGGTTTGAGAATTTGGGGGGAAATCGGTCCATCAGACAGGATTTGAGGGGGAAAATAATACTTTCCTCTTTTGCGTTTGAAAATAAACTATATAGGCCGGCCCAGCTTGAGGCGCTGCGGGCGCCCGTTTGCAGAATACACATTAACGGGCGCCTGCAGCGCCAAATAGGAAATGCCCGAGCTAAAAGAGTTGTCCCGCTGTCCCGAGTTGATTTTTGGTCTTGTGGGCTGTTTTGGCCTTCTAGGCCATTTTGTCCCTCTGGGCTTTACATTTTTAGGTCAATAAGGCCAAAAAAATCTAAGAAGGTGAAAAGCCCTAAAATGGGTAAAATAGTTGTTGGGAAACGCAGTATTTCAAAATTTTTACCTACGATCACGCAAGATCTATCTAGGAGATGCATAGGAACGAGAGGGGAGAGTGTGTATACATACCCTCGTAGACCGGAAGCGGAAGCGTTTAGTAACGTGGTTGATGTAGTCGAACGTCTTCGCGATCCAACCGATCCAAGTACCGAACGTACGGCACCTCCGCGATCAGCACACGTTCAGCTCGATGACGTCCCTCGAACTCTTAATCCAATTGAGGCCGAGGGAGAGTTCCGTCATCACAACGGCGTGGCGACGGTGATGATGAAGTTACCGACGCAGGGCTTCGCCTAAGCAATACGATGATATGACCGAGGTGTGTAACTATGGAGGGGGGCACCGCACACGGTTAAGAGAAACTTGTGTGTTCTAGGGTGCCCCTGCCCCCGTATGTAAAGTAGGGGAGGCCGGCCGGCCCTCCTAGGACGCGCTTGGAGATGGGAATCCTACTAGGACTCCAAGTCCTAGTAGGTTTCCACCTAAGGAAGAGGGGGAGAAGAAAGGAAGAGGGGGAAGGGAAGGAAAGGGGCGGGGCGCCGCCCCCTTCCCCTAGTCCAATTCGGACCCAAGGGGGGCGGCCAGCCCCTCCTGGCCCTTCCTCTCTTTCCACTAAGGCCCCATCGAGGCCCATTAGTTCCTTCGGGGGGTTCCGACAACCCTCGGACACTCCAATAATTATCCGGTACCTCTCGGAACTCATCCGGTGTCCGAATAACATCGTCCAATGTATCAATCTTTATGTCTCTACCATTTCGAGACTCCTCGTCATGTCCGTGATCTCATCCGGGACTCCAAACGAACTTCGGTCATGAAATCACATAACTCATAATATAAATCGCCATCGAACGTTAAGCCTGCGGACCCTACGGGTTCGAGAACTATGTAGACATGACCGAGACACATCTCCGATCAATAACCAATATCGGAACCTGGATGCTCATATTGGCTCCTACATATTCTATGAAGATCTTTATCAGTCAAACCGCATAACAACATACGTTGTTCCCCTTGTCATTGGTATTTTACTTGCCCGAGATTCGATCGTCGGTATCATCATACCTAGTTCAATCTCGTTACCGGCAAGTCTCTTTACTCGTTCCGTAATGCATCATCCCTTGACTAACTCAGTAGTCACATTGCTTGCAAGGCTCATAGTGATATGCATTACCGAGAGGGCCCAGAGATACCTCTCCGATACACGGAGTGACAAATCCTAATCTCGATCTATGCCAACTCAACAAACACCATCGGATACACCTGTAGAGCATCTTTATAATCATCCAATTATGTTGTGATGTTTGATAACACACAAGGTGGTCCTCCGGTATTCGGGAGTTGCATAATCTCATAGTCTGAGGAAGATGTATAAGTCATGAAGAAAACAATAGTAGAAAAACTAAACGATCATTATGCTAAGCTAACGGATGGGTCTTGTCCATCACATCATTCTCTAATGATGTGATCCCGTTCATCAAATGACAACACATGTCTATGGTTAGGAAACTTAACCGTATTTGATTAACGAGCTAGTCAAGTAGAGGCATACTAGGGACACTCTGTTTGTTTATGTATCTACACATGTACTAAGTTTCCGGTTAATACAATTCTAGCATGAATAATAAACATTTATCATGATATAAGGAAATATAAATAACAGCTTTATTATTACCTCTAGGGAATATTTCCTTCAATAGCCCCAAGCAGTGTTAAAAGGGCTCAGTTGGGCCGCACGTCCTGTTGGGCATAGGCCATGTCGATCCACGAATAAAAGGGTCATGCCGGGTCGGCCTTAAAGCATGGCTTTGGAGATCAGCCTTGTTTCATTGTGGGCCGAAGGCTGCCCCAACCCTTCTATTCCCGTGTCGGGCCAGACCAAAATTTTGTGCCCACGGGCCGGCCTTAAAAGCATGGTCCATAAATATGCTTGTCATCGTGCCTTCACTTGTTGAAAGTGCCTCTAGCCGCCGTCACCACCATGGACGGCAGTTGCCGCATACCCCTACGCTGTCCACCACCACCTCTCGCGGCAATCGCCTACCCCATCCACCCCCTCCGCCCCACCCTTGTCGCGCCATCGAGCCCCTAAACTGGAAGGCGCAATGCCACCTATGTTACGCCGTGGCTACGTGAAAGGCGCAAACCACAGAGCAGCAGGTGTGCCACAACAATCGGTACGCGCTCTCACTTGCCCCCATTGCGCTTGCCAGATATATGTCGTGCTTTTGGTGTAATGCCGGAAAGGTGTATATTTTTTTCGAAATTTGATTGAAACACAATGTGATGTGAACATGAATTACTTGGCATGATTTGGAACATGATGTGAATATGGTATGCAATTTTGTGCTACTAATAATTGTGCGCATGCACTGCACAGTAATATATTAGGCGATATATTAATTGTATATGGACGCCGATAACTGCCACACGTGTGGGCGTTAAGGAATTTGCCCACACGTTCTGTGTGGTGCCTAAGAGGACCAGCCCACACGTCTGTGGGCAAAACAATTAGCGCCCACACGCCTCTTTTTTCCCCTCTCGGTCCCTCTTACATGCGTGCGTGTGGGCGAAATAGATAACGCCCACACGCCCGGTACGTCAGGCCTCGTACCTTGTGGTCCCGCACGCCCCACGTGACACTTTACCGGGCTCCCCGCAGTTGCCATGGGCCGGACCCTCGTCCATGTTCGTTTAAGTGCAGTTGCCATGTCGCTGAACTACGGTTGCCATGTCGGACAACTACAATTGCCATGTTTGCTCAACTGTAGTTGCCATCTCAGGTCAAAGTTTTGCCATTTTTTGGACAACTACAGCTGTTGCCATGTGTGGTCTGGTCTACTGGAGTTGCCATGATTTCAAAACTTTAGGAGTTGCCACCTACTAACACTAGGCAGTTGCCATGTAGCGCTACAAAAAAAGGCATGGCAAAAAATATGTTTGGGTAAAAGAGAGAGTTGCCATGTGCTCACAAGCACACTAGGGCAGTTGCCATTTAAAAAGAAAGAGTTGCCATCTGATTATGTGCACGCTAGGGCAGTTTGCCATGTACCATGCAAAACATATGGCAACTGACATATTCGGATAAAAAAAGAGAGTTGCCATCTGCTTGCAATCATACTAGGGCAGTTGCCATGTACACTGCAAAACGTATGACAACTGGCAGCTTAGGTGTGGGAGAGGAGGGGGTGTGTGGGCGAGATGGCAAACGCCCACACACCAGCCCTTGTGCGTGACTGAAAAACTGGTGTGTGGGTGAACTGCTAAACGTCCACACACCGGCCCATCTGTGTGGTAAAACGGATATGTGGGCGACCTCTCTCACGCACCACACACGCGAGTTGTCCTACATGGCATACAAAATCAGCTAATTCGTGCCAAGATTCGTGCAGAAGTTACTGGAGGATGATGAAGGCGTATGGACGAGTTGACTAACGCCCACACGTGTGGGCGTTAACATTTTCGATTGTATATTTATATTGCATATTAGTATTAGGTAAGATATAAATTGCTTATCAACATTACTACTTCCTCTCTCGGATCCGGCTTGCCTGCTCCCTCTTCATGCTCTCATCCGTGCTCCCACTTCATCCTACGGCTGTTCTTTTCCCTTTTTCTTTTTTAATCTAATCATCTCTCCCCCTGATTTTCAGGGGGTGGGACCGGGCCTTATTTTCTTCCAACCAAATCAAGCCACGTATGCGGGAGCACGGATGGGAGCATGAGAAGGGAGCAGGCAAGTCTCGTCCTCCTCTCTCTCTCTCTCTCGAAACGGAGGGAGTAGTAGGTAATTAGTACTGGGTTAATGTTGCATTGATATTAGACATGATATTAATTAGTGAAGGATACTAAACATGTTTAATGCTAAACATGTTTAAAGCTAAACGCCAGAGCGGATAGATGCGGTTGAATGAGTTTTGTTGGATCTCTGCAACTTGCTCTTTTTACGTTGGCATATATGCAATATGGATGATGACACAACTTGAAGTTTTAGAGTTAATTTGGATTGTGTATGCACAATGGAATGAGATATATAAGCAAAACGAAACGATTTGTAGGTATCCAGCTTTAGGTTAGCTAGCTGCTGGAGAAGAGCAAGGAAATCTTCTCTCGCATGTACGTAAGTAGGAGTACATCCAAATCCAAATATAGCAATATTCCAACTATAGCCGTTCTCGGCTAAGCATGGAGCTTTTCTCCCCACCACACGCCCATCCACCTCATCGGCGCCGATCGTAGCCATGAGGCTCAACTCGACGCGTCCATTGATAACTGACTCACCGGAAATCACGGCTGGCGCCACTGTAATTTCGTATCCATGCCGCACGCTGCGGTGGCTGCAAACCGGAGTTCAAAAGGCGCGGGAGCGCGGAGGCCCGCTCTGCCTCCTCTCCTCTTCCCCCATTCCTTGTACCACCACATCTCTCAACCATAAGGCGCAATCTCGATCCCTTCCACCACCAAGGGTACGCACACCCATTCGTCCCACGCAGCGGCGGCGTCAAAGGCGCGATGGAGCGGCGGCCAGAGCTGCGGCGGTCGATGACGCTCTCGGAGCAGCTGTCCAGGCCCGACCCGGCCATCCGCGAGTTCCTCAAGATCCCCGACGACGATAGCCACCTGAGCGCTGACGCCGGAGGAGGTGGAGGCAGCGGCGGCATGATCAACTGGAAGCCGTTGCGCGACCGTCTCCGGCTCCGGCGCTCCGTGAACGCCTGGTCCAGCCCGTCGGAGAGGCCCAGCACGGCGGACGGCGCCGGTAGCCTGAAGAACAGCGGCAGCGGCAGCAACCGCAGCCACAAGTACATCTACGCGCAAGGTGAGGCCACGGCGGCCTTCTGCCGCACCTCCTCGCTCCGCCAGACTCCCGCATTCTCGCGCGCGGCCTCCACTCGGGTCGGTTCTAACGCCACGATCGGGCGCTCTCCCCCCGTGGTCGTCGGCGAGGGCTCCGAGGACGAGTCAGAGCACGATGAGGACGAGGAGGAAGGCAAGGAGGAGGAGGACGCGCCGACGGCGCAGATGTCCCTGATGGCGCTGCTGGAGCAGACGGACAGCTGGGACGAGGAGGAGGAGGAGGAGGAGCAGCAGGCCGCGGCAGGCGGCGGGGCCAGCAGCAAGAACGCGCACGCCGAGGAGGAGGAGGAGGACGGCGAGGGGCGCGAGGAGGAGATGGTGCACGTGTGCTGCGTGTGCATGGTGCGGCACAAGGGCGCGGCCTTCATCCCGTGCGGCCACACATTCTGCCGCCTCTGCTCCCGGGAGCTCTGGGTCAGCCGCGGCAACTGCCCGCTCTGCAACGGCTTCATCCAGGAGATCCTCGACATCTTCTGATCAAACCAACCTCGTCTTCCTGTCTGTCCGTCCGACTCTTGATTCTTCGGAGAAATTGTGTGGGATCATTCATTCACGCGCCCGCGAGTACCGCGGTTGATGGCGAGTGAGCGGCCAACGCGCCACCCCGCTCTGAAACTGAGGCCCGTATCATATCGTAGGTAAATTGGTACATCAATCAACATGATGACACTCTGTCTGCGATTTATTTCTGGAATGTGATTAACTGTATCAACTGTACTCAGTAATGTTTTGGAATAAGAGTGGGATGCCTACAATGAAAGTACATTGGAATAAGAATGGTCGTGCCGGTGACGGATCTAGGGGGAGGGGGAGCATTGCCCCCCCCCCTCTCTGTCTGATTCTTTGTTGTGCTTGAGAAATCCTCTCTGATGAAGTATGCGTTTGGCTCCCCCTTTAATTGTTGCGTCGCTCCTGTTAGTAAACAATTGCAAGAATGAATGAACCGTGTCAATTTCATTGATAGACAGATCGTACATACAGGGAGCAGACGCATCCGATAGTGCTGTGTGTGGGAAACGGCGTGACGGTTGCCGAATCGTAATCGCACTTGCACTTTGTACAAGCGAGGATTAACCTCAATTACGTTAATAATTACTCCCTCTATCCCATAATATAAGAATATTTTTGACACTACACTACTGTCAAAAATGTTCTTATATTACGAGACAGAGACTGTCAAAAATGTTCTTATATTACGAGACAGAGGGAGTAAATCCTAACAGCTCCAACTCGAGAGCTCCCATTTGCATACCACAGGCGGCAAATGGCGGAGACGACACACAGGACACAAAACGCCTTAGTAGCATCTACGCATGCTGTAGTGGTCGGTTCACTGAACCGGTTTTTTGTTGGTTTTTTCTTTTTCACCTTATCTTTTTCATAGTTCTTGGTACTATAAATATTTTCATAATATACGGTGATTATTTTCCAAAATACACACTAAACACGTTTTAATATACAGTAAACTTTTTTTAATACAATGGACATTTTTGTACTACATCTGACCATTTTCAAAATACACATTGATTTTTTTGTAAAATACGCTGAACAATTTCATAGTATAAGCTGAACATTATAAAAATACAGATCGAACTTTTGTATAAAATATGTTGAACACTTTTTTAGTATACAAGGACCATTTTCAAAATACACATTGATTTTTTTGTAAAATACGCTGAACAATTTCATAGTATAAGCTGAACGTTATAAAAATACAGATCGAACTTTTGTCTAAAATATGTTGAACACTTTTTTAGTATACAATGAACATTTTCACAATACACATTGAACTTAGAAAAAATGTTGACCAATTTCTTAATACAATGAATATTTTTATAATACCGGTGAACGTTCTGAATGTATGCTGAATATTTTGTTAATATACAACGAGCATTTTCGTAATACATGGTGAATTTTTTATATAGGACAAAAACTAAAATAAATTAAATTAAAAACCGAGAAAAAGAAAGGAAAAGGGAAACAGAAAAAAAATGAAATAAAAGCAACAACCAACCCAACATGGGTCAGTCCAACTAAGCCGCCGGGAGGAACGCTCTCTCAGCGATGCCACCGCTATTTGCCGCCTAAGGGTGGCAAATATGATTGACCGTCCCTGAGTAGTACGTAATCTACTAAGTAACTATGCCCTTTCAAATTTAGATTTCCTTAGATTTCAGTCATATTGTTTATGAGCATTGTTTTAGAGAGACAATAAAGTAGCACAAGAATTAGCTAGTCTAGCTAGATTCACTCCTCCTAATGTATGGACGGATGCTGCCTCGACGGATGTCATCCCCCTAATTGTTTCAGATGCTACAATTGTAGCCAATTAATAAACGAGGTGTTTATCGAAAAAAAACTATGCCCTCTCAAATTCGAGGGTTCTCCTTTAATCAGCCGCGTGGAGCCCTCTCCTCACTCTGTGAATTTAACAATTGTTTGTGTGTTTACTTATTTTTCTTTTATTTTCACATTTACATTCACGAACATTTAAGAAAAATATTGAAGATTTATTGAAGTTAATGAATATTTTAATCCTTTTGAATATATTAAAGTTTGTTAATTTGAGGTCCACTCATATTTTTTAAATTCATGAATGTTTTTAACTGTTATGTTTTTGTTAATTTGCAACACTAAAAAAATCTGTGAAGATCTTTTAATTTAACAAACAATTTGAAATAAATAAATGATAGGCGGTTTTTATGAGCTAGCATTGTAGCGAGTGGAAAGAAACTAAGCGAGCGAGTGGAGCAGGAAACCAAGTTGAGCGAGCGAGGGCTTCATGGGACCGCGTATTGGAGCGCTCTCGTTTACTCAGCCGCGTGGAGCCCTCTCCTCACTCCTCGAATTTATCAATTGTTTGCGTTTTACTTGTTTTTCTTTTATTTTCACATTTTTATTCAACAACATATAAGAAAAATCTCAAAGATTTTTTGAAATTAATGAATATTTTTGAATTTGTGAACATATTAAAGTTTGTGAAAAAATTAAAGTCTATAAATCTTTTCTAATTTGTGAAGCTTTCTCGAATTCACAAACATAGTTTGAGATCCCTTCATATTTTTTAAATTCATGAATATATTTTAACAGTTATGGTTTTGTTAATTTGCAACATTTAAAAAAAATTGTGAACATCTTTTGATTTCACAAACTTTTTCAACAGTCGGTTTTTATGAGCTGCATTGCAGCGAGCAAACAAAAAATTAAGCGAGCGTGCGGAGCAGGGAGCCAAGCTGAGCGAGTGAGGGCTTCATGGGACCGCATTATAGATCAAATTGGAGTGCTCTCCTTTACGCAGTTGTGTGGCCCTCTCCTCACTACGCAAATTTATGAATTGTTTGTGTTATACTTATTTTTTCTTTTATTTTCATATTGTCATTCATGAGCATTTTAGAAATATCTCAAAGATTGTTTAAAATTAATGAATATTTTTAAATTTGTGAATATATTAAAGTTTGTGAATATCTTTAAATTCTATGAATATTTTCTAATTTGTGAAGCCTTTTCAAATTCTAGAGCATAGTTTGAGATCCACTCATATTTTTAAGCAGTTATGGTTTTCTTAATTTGCAACATTAAAAAAAGAATATGTGAACATCTTTTGATTAAATAAACTTATTCAAATAAATAAACGATAGTCGGTTTTATGAGCTAGCATTGGAGTGAGCAGAAAAAACTAAGCAGGTGAGCGGAGCAGGGAGCCAAGCTGAGTGAGCGGAGACTTCATGGGACCACATTATAGCAACAACTTCATCAAACAACACGGACCGAGACTGATGCCGAAATGTGTAAGGCTATCACAACCACACATCAAACAACCCCACTCTTCTTTCGGAACAAATACCATCTTGCAGCCCAACATGATATATGTACGAAACAACACCACTAGAGCATGATTAAAACTCAAGTCAGCCCAGATAAAACCAGAACGAAACAACCGATAACAATAACATGGTGGTGCAAACAAAAAGGCAATCCCGACAAGTGAAAAAACAGCGCGGCAAAGCACGCGTTTGCCTCAAGTCTTTCTCTATTCCTCAAGGGAAACGATTGAACTCATCCGACGGATGTCCCGATCATATCGATCTTCTTGTGCGTGTGTCACGTGCCCGTGGGCCCACAAACTGCTCCGGCGTAATCATCATGATCCTCGCGAGTAGCGTGCACCATGTGACTAAGGGTGGCAATGGATCAGGTTTGGACCGGGTTGTACAATATCAAATCCATATCCATATCCACAAAGACAATCTTTACTCACCCATGAAAAAATCCACGGGTAAAAAATTGTGTCCATGTCCAAACCCGATGGATATCTGAAAGTGTTAGTTATCGACTAGAGGGGGGGTGAATATGCGATTTTTATGAAAGTCTTCAAAACATGGGGGCTTTGAAGACAAACAGTAGAAACGAACCTATTGATATGCAGCGAAAGGCAGACTACACTAAACAAGCCATAGTTAAGTAAGCAATTAAGTGAAAGCACGATGACTATCAGCAGCTAGTTAGTATGGATCAGGATGGAAGAAAGTATGAAGCCAAACAACAACAGTCTTTACACAATGAAGTCAATCAGATCATGCAAGCAGACAATGACTTCATGAAGACAAACTGTAAGTAAAGAGAGGTAAAGGATAGAACCAGTTGCTTGGTGAGGACAAGGATTTGTTGGACCAGTTCCAGTTGTTGTGACAACTATACGTCTGGTTAGGGAGGCTGAGATTCAACTCAGAAGATCGCGTCTTCACCTTATTCCCCTTGAGCTAAGGACACACAGTCCTCGCTCAATCACTCTGGTAAGTCTTCTAGGGAGACTTCCAAACCTGCACAGACTTCATTCACTGGATGCTCAAAACGCGACGCCTAACCGGTCGGAGGATTCACAAACCTCAAGTGTAACAAGTCTTCAGGTCACGCAGACAGAAAGACTTCAGTGATTCCTAACACTCTTTGGCTTTGGGTGTTTAGGGCTTTTTCCTCGCAAGGATTTCTCTCTCAAATGCTTCGGAGGTGGGTTGCTCTCAAACGACAAAAGCCGTGCACTAACTCTGAGCAGCCACCAATTTATGGTGTAGGGGGTGGACTATTTATAGACAGGAGGCAACCCGACCTGATTTGTCTGAAATGACCCTCGGTCACTAAGGAACTGACACGTGTCTAACAGTCAGATTTCAAACACACGCGACAGCTTGACTTGAGCTACAAGTAAAGCTGACTCATCCAGCTCTAGATAAGATTTGCTCTCATTGTCTTCACTTGAAGACATAGGATTTGGTTGAGCATCACTTCATTCACTCTGACTTTGTTCACTTGGACCCCACTTAACAGTGCGGTGGTTCCTGTGACTCAAAGAAGAAAAGGAAACTACGAAACAACTATGTCTTCGCACTCCATAGTCTTCACATGAATGCCTTCTCGACTCATAATCTTCGTTATGAATATCTTCACAGCCCACCATTGTCTTCAATGTCTTCACACAT